CGTGGTCCGGCCGGGAGGCTTTAACAAGTTTGGAGGAAAAGAAGCACCCCCCCTCCCCCCCCCCCCCCCCCCCCCCCCCCCCCCCCCCCCCCCCCCCCCTCCCCTCCCCCCCCCCTCCACCCCCCTTGTGCCCGTTCTCCTCGCACTTCTATCAACAACCGTGTAAAGGTGGGGTTTGACAGGCCGCCCTAGCATAAAAAAACATCGACTGCCCCCTCGCCCTGCCGCTACACAGCCGAGGCGGGCGGCGTAGCGTTAAAATTACCAAGTCCCCCAAACACTAAACCCGAAGCACCTGAAACCCGAACCCCTACACTCTAAACCCTTGAATCCCTAACCTACCTTTAGCCTGCTTACGAAGTCTCCCCCCCCCCAACCCTAAACCCTAAGCCCCAAACCCCTACACCCTGAACCGGGACATCCCTCATCTACCCAGAACCTAAAAACCTACTTACTAAGGACATTCTTAATACGGTCATGCTTAAGAGAGCCAGAAGTAGGGTTAAGAAGGGATCCCCTTTCAGGGGTCCCCAGCCCAATGCCCCTTAACCAGGGAATATAGCTTAAATCATACTGTGAATCCCTTCATTATTTCAGGTGTATTCCTTAATTAAAGGGTATTGGGCTCTCTGGGTCTCCCTAACCCTAAACCCTAAACTCTAAACCCTACTATGACTCGAAGGGAAACCTCCCAGACCTTTGCCTCCGGAGCGCCCGTAGACGAGCTGGGAGCCGCAGAAGCCTCGCCTGCAAAGTCGGCTTCCTCTAGGGGTTTGTAAGGGTGTCGGGCTTTAGACTTTTGAGGTTTGGGATCTTAAAGTTTAGGGTTTACGGTTTTAGGGTTAGGGTTTAGGGTTTTTCGAGTGCTCGTTTGTCGTGTAGACCACATTGGCGAAAACAAGCATGATCTTGCACTCATTGTTCTACCGTGCTGTGCTGTGCTATGTCACAGGAGACTTGCTGTAGCATCGAGGCTTACGATACTTCCCTGGGCTATTCGCCAGGCTGACCCAGTCTCCCCACTCTATCCCGTGTCATCCTGGACGTATGCGATAGACTTGCAGACCCCCACCCCTGCTGCAAACCAGAGGCGCCTATGGGGCAGGAAGAGAGGTTGAACCTTTGTAAAATCACTGGGGTGTTGATTCAATGTACCGGAGTCGACCCCATTCAGGACCCACTCAGCCCATAAAGACCGTCTGATCTAACCACACTAGGATGTTCAATCCTTTCCGCGTCTTTGCACGGTGCAGCTGTTTTGCAAGTATTGGCATTGGCGGCTGGTGGCAAGCGAGGCAGTGTTCGCCACGAAACTCCAAACCCTTTCATGTAGGGGCCTCGATAAGTGGAGCAGGGCTTGTTGCATGTTAAAGTACGGCTGCAAGAGGAAGGCTCTTCAACTTCAGGTAATCCTGCAGTTCTTGATGTCATGCGAACTCCTGGATTCCTAAGGGTGTGGGTTGTGGGTTTAGGGTGTAAGACTTAGGGTTTAGGGTACCAAACATAGAAGAAGCAAAGCTTCTGAACCGCCGGGCTAGACAAGCCCACAGCAGTGGAGCAGTTAATTGGTTCGACTCTGGCAAAGGTCTGGCACAGGACCTGCCCCTCCTGAGTTTAAGGCTTGGGGCTGAGGCTGTTTCCTTCTCCTGAACACTTACCCCTAAAGGGTTCTGGGAGTCGGGGTTTGGGGTTTAGGCGCAGGGTGTAGCACTTAAGCTTACGAGCAGAAGAACTTGGGCCGAGAGCTTGTGAAAGCGGAAAGACCTTCCCTAAAGCAGTACTACAGAGGCCAGAAAAGTCAGAACAGGGCGTTGGAGGGTCTTGTTGGAGCGAACGCTGAGCGTTGTTCCATAGGAGTTGTTTTGCAGGAGTTTAGAGGTCGGAGGGCTCAGGGGGTTTAGGGTCTACTTGGAGGGTCGGGGGACTTAGTAACTGGTTATTTTAAGGACTTATAAGTACCATAACCCCAATTAGGGTCCCTTTTAGGGTACTTATAAGTCTACTTACTAAGTACTTACTAAGTCCCCCGACCCTCCAAGTAGGGTCTAGGCCTCAGGGGTACTAAGAAACAGGAAGTGTTGTTTTCAGCTTCTGGATTTCAGCTTTGAGGGCCCAAACTGAAGATCAGTCCACCAGCCCGGTTCCCTTGAGTGAAATCGCCACGAGAGGTTCCCGGGTATCTCCTCAAGGTCTGGAGGCTTTAGGGATTGTGGGTTTGGGAGTTGAGGTGAAGAACCTATGAAAGCCTCTTCGATTCTTCCAGGGGCCATCAAAAAAAGGGGAGGGGGGGCCGTCGGCTCTGCATAACTTTGGCCAGGACTTTGCCCACACCTTACAAAGAAGGTGTATTCGGAACCGCACAATCCCTGTGCCGGAGACTTCTCCGCAGGATCGGAATTGGCTCAGAAGCGAAAGACTGAGCTGAAAGGATCTAGGAGAGCTTTCAAGTGCACTGAACTGAACCCCAAGCCTGTAAACCTTGAGATGAGTAAGAGATCAACATGGAACTACCGAAGCAAAAGCCTCTTGGGCGCAGCCTACCGACGGGAAACATCGATGTTTGGGTGGCATGGCTTGCTGCAAGCCTCGAAAGATCATCGATCCTAGGCGAAAGAATCATAGTATAAGCCACGGTACAGGTTTTGTGGGTGAATCTCCAGATCATGAGTCATCTCCACCGTGGAATCTCCACCTCACAATGTACAACAAACCGCTAAGTACCAACGTTGGTCCAACAAGACGAACATAGATAACGAGGCGGATGCCGTGCTCCTACTGCTATGACAGCAACATGAAGAGTTGAAATACACCCTTAACCCTAAACCCTAAACCTAAACATCGGACCAGCAGTAGCAACTGCAGTCATAAGAAGCTCGCTCACAGGCGTCTTCTCTCGGGACTTCTCTTCAGAGCCTAAGCCCTGAGCCTAAAAGCAAAACCTAGCCCTAAACCCCAACTTCTAGACCCTGCCAGTTTCCGATCTTCCACGAAGAGCATCGTTTGCGCTCTTAAGACATGAACACCCTAAGGCTCCATGTACCGATATAGTTTATATGGTACCCTTAACGGAACCCTTAAAGGCCCTCTTAAGGGGAACAATAGAGCCCCATAGTACCCTTACAAGGGACCTTACTGTGGATTATAGCACCCTTAAAAGGGGACCTTATCATAGAAACCTTTTAAAGGAACCTTGAAGGGCACATGGAGCCTTAGGAACGGAGGACTCCGAGTCTTTGGGTGTCCTGGGAGACGGGGAGGCTCTGTGGGGTGTGAGAAATCACTTCTTCCTGGTCTTAAAAGGGGCTTACTTGGAGGATCATGGGACTTAGTAACTAGGGTTTAGGGCTCCTTTTGAAGATAGCATAGGGCTCCAATATAGGCTTCCCTTGAAGGGTTTAGGGTTTCCTGGTTTAGGGTCTACTTGGGGGATCATGGGACTTAGTAACTAGGGTTATAGATAAGGTAACTGTACTTATAATTCCAATTAGCGTACACATAACCTTACTTGCTAAGTCCCACGATCCTCCAATTGGGGCTTGGGGCTTTTACAAGGGTTTAGGGTTTGGGGCTTGGGGGTGTTTAAGGTCCTGGATTTAGAGGATTTTGTTTAGGGGTCAGGGTCTTGTAAGCGGTTTACGGTTTAGAGTTTTTGGTTCGAGCACTGTATGGCAGTGTATCATTTCAAAGTGTTATACTATAGTGGATAGAACTAAGAAGAATGCAATACAATACAAAAGCATAGAATAGATAGTATACAACCGAATATTTTATCATACACAGTATACAGCGTAGAACCTATAACATGCAGCACATGACCTGAGTTACGTAAATCTATACTATATGTAAACTACCCTATAGAGCCTCACGGGTATCAAGCCGGAGCCTCCCAAACCCCTTTTTTAGGAATCTACCTTGGATCTAAGGTTCCTGACAGGGATGTTAAAGGGATTTACAACTGGGATATTGGACCCCTCATATGATGTAAGGTATATTCCTGAAATGAGGGCTTTTGGAGGCCCTGGGAAGCATTTCAGCGGTTCCCTTACGGAAGCAAAGCTTTAACGACCGGTCCCCAAGGACCGGAATCGACGGAAGATCCCACATCGACCACTTCACACATAACTACAAGCTTCAATAGCAACGAAAGGCTACAAGACCCGACCCATACACTAAATTATGATAGGACCCCGAGTAGGATTCAGGGTACTCTCCTTAATTCAAGGGTTTTGGAGTCTCTGGGAGGTTAAGGCCTAAACGCTGGGCCGTAACTACCCTGTGCATACCTGCCTACGACATGTCAAGTCGAGGTCGCTTTGAATCCGAATGTCTCACTTAGGTCATCCTAAACATCTAGGCCTCAAAGATCCAAGCATCCCTGCCAGGGCTCATGTAAAGGGTTATGATCCAGGTTGGTATCAGGGTTACAAGGGTTCTGATCTTTTTCTGCATTGGTTCGAAAGCAACAGGGTTGGGGGGTTGCGTTCTAGTAGATTGTAGTATGGAACCTGGTTGAATAGTGTTGGTGCTTCTTCAGCCCCTTATTAGACCCCCGGTCGTGAAAAAAAAAGATTCCTGAAGACGGCGTATAATCCGGATCCTGGTAGCAGGGCCCCTACCTTAACCCCACGTAACCTACCTTTTTAAGGACTTATATAAAGAAATCATATTAGGGAACCCTAAAAAGGGTAGGTTCCTTAGGGTCCAGGTAGAGGAACAGACTTGTAGTAATCCGAGGTCTGCAATGACCTTCATCCCCCCCGAAACCCTGTACTAGTTCATTGTTGGGATAGGATTAAAAATGAACATTTTTATTCCTTATTGGGTTTAGATACCCATAAGAATGTAAAATGTTACCCAACTATGACAAAGTGTACCCAAAAAGATCCCCCGGGCCCAAATCCCTTAGCTCAAACGCCTACATTCTCACGTACATACAGAAGGAAACTAAGGATCCTACAAGTGTAGGTTTTCTCCACGGTCCGGGCTTTG